CAAAAAATATATAGTACAAGATTTATGTTTTCATATTATTATTGACATTAAGCTACCCAGAAAGTAATTTATTGGAGACTGATATAGTTATTTAACTTGTTTGCTGCCCATCTCGCCTAGAGGTAACTCTGGGAAGCTTACAAACATTAAAAGCCAAAAAAAAAAACCCCACATTAAAATAATTAAACCTCATAATAATAATCATAATTTACAATTAAAAACACAGGAAGGAAGGGAGTAGGATAAGAACAGGCGGAGGTGAAGTCTTGTCTTAATCTTGCCACCGCCAGCATGATGCACATTGGGGTCTGAAGTCAATTGGCAGAGCCAGGTCTTCAGGCCCTTGTGGAAGATCAAAAGGGTGAGTATGGATCTCACCTCAAGGAGCAGGATGTTCCAATGGGCAGGTGCCGCAGCAGAAAAGACTCTTCTCCTGGACCCCACCAGCTGAAATTCCTTAACCAACAGGGTCCGCAGTATGCTCCTTCTGCTGGTATAGATGAGATAGTTCCTCAGATAACCAGGACTCATTCCATGGCCTTTAAATGTGATAACCAATACCTTGAATTGCACCTGGAAGCAAACCTGCAGCCACTGAAGCTTATGGAACATAGTGTAACATTCAACATCTATGAAATTAAATACTATAAAATTAAATAACATATAGGTGGAAGGTATCTCAAAGATTATTTAATTTGATTATATAGTTATCTAATTTGTATTCTTGATGTGGAACCATTTATGAACACTCTTTTCTATAATAATTCAGGATTTATGAATTCATTTAAGCCAGTACATATTTACCATTTTATTAATAAGTATATTATGAAATAAATTGTTGAATGTTTTAGAGAGCTCATGGTACATTCCATAACATTGTCCTTATCTATTAAGTTAATCACATTTATAGTATTGGTCAGACCCCACCCTAAATATTGTGTCCTTTTAGACTTTAAGAACAATTCAGGGATATCAAAGTGGCCACAGAAAAGGCAATTAAGATGATCAAGGGACTGGAAACTAAGCCTTCTAATGAAAGATTAAGAGGATGAAATATATTTAGCCTTGAAAAAAAATGATCAAACAGAATTATAGTAGAACTTTTCAAATTCCAGAAAAGATTTTTTCTCTCTTGAATAAATCAAGAATAATGATTTTAATCAGAATCGGAATAATGGTTTTAAATTAAAAGAAGGCAGACTCCACTTGAATATTAGAAAAAAATACAAGAAAAAATCATTCAGAAACAATTACACAATGGTGGATGTATTCACTACACAGTAATTTGGATTTTCTGCCTTTAACTTTAAGATTCTGCATGTTGCTGAGAGATCTAATAATTTTTTTCCCTTCCCTTAAGTCATGTCCAATTCTCAGAAACAGCTGGGACAAGTCTCTGCAGTTTTCTTGGCAAGGCTTTTCACAAATGGTTTGCCATTGCCTCCTTTTTAGGACTGGAGAAAGTGACTGGCCCAAGGCTACCTGTTTGACTTTGTGCCCAAAGGACAACTAGAACTACCAGCTTCTTTCCTGATGCTTTAACCATTATAAAACATGTACTTTAGAAAAATCCATAATTAATCAAATCCCATTGTTGCTGTCCTTTCCACCAAACCCTTAGATTTTGCAGCCTAACTGTTCTTTAATCAGAAAGGAAGCAGATAGATGAGCTCCAGTTTAAGTTTCCTAAAGAATATACTATCATTAATATTGTAATATTTTTCCTATCTCCCTATCAGCCTTATTTTGCAGTTGTCTTTTGTTGATATTTTGCTCCATCAGCCATTCTCCAGTGCTTATTTTCTTTTTTTCCTTTTGGCTCATCCTATGTGTTGTCTTGCAGAGAGACGATACAAATACTAAGCTTTATGTTTCAATACTCAAAGTATAGAAAGCGGTAACAGCTTGCAGAGAAATCATCCATAATTTATCCACAAAACTCTCAGTGGACCATCAAATGCTTTCTCATCCAAGGAAATAATAATAGTTTGAAACTTAGGCAACACTGTTATATTATTTAAGAATCTAATATTATCAGGTCCTTGATATGGCCATATAAAACATGACTTAACTGGATGGACAATAATGAAAAGTGCAAACTAGAAAGAGTTTTTGAACATGTCAATTTTTAGCATACACATATCAAGGAAATAAGTGTAATTCTAACAGAACATCAGATCTTTTTCTAGATTAATAAAAACTGTTATCTAGATCTCACAGAATGATGGGAAGAGATCCATATCCTGCTCTCAACTGCAAACATTCTAATATTGACTGACAATTGAATAGAAGCAAGCAGGGCATTAATCATTCTTAAGCCCCCATCCATTGATACAACAAAGGAAAAGAATGGCTGAGCTTTTTCTATCTTTTTCGGTCTTTTGGGTGGCACCTGGAACAAATTAGCAACAAATAATCATAGCTATCAAAACAATGGTAATCAATGATTTACTCTACTAAAGGAGATTAACCAATTAATAGGATACAAAGTGAAGGAGTGCTATAGTATGCAGAAGTAGATTACCATAAAATTTTATCTTAAAGGTAAGTAATTCTTACATTATTTTTTCTTTGTCTTGTCCATATGCCTTGACTGAGTTTTTTGTTTTCATGTGTATTATATGCAGTTAGTAACATCCTAAGTGCAGAACTGTAGAAAAGAATGAATACATTTTATATTCCTAATTTAGGGAAATTCATCTTCTGCTTTCCAAATCATCTTTTACTTAAGTACAAATGTATGGGTTTGTCTAGTCTAAAGAAAAAAAGAAATAGGGGTGACATAATAGCAGTATTCCAGTATTTGAGGGGCTGCCACAAAGAAGAGGGGGTCACATTATTCACCAAAGCACCAGAGGGCAGGACAAGAAACAATGGTTGGAAACTGATCAAAGAGAGAAGCATCTTGGAATTAAGGAGAAACTTCCTGACAGTGAGGACAATTAACCAGTGGAATAGTTTTCCCCCAGAGTCGTGGGCACTCCATCACTGGAGATTTTTTAAAAAGAGACTACACAGTCACTTGTCTGAGATGGTATAGATTCTCCTGCTTGAGCAGGGGGCTGACTAGAAGGCCTCCAAGGTCCCTTCCAGCTCTGTTCTATTCAAATGCATACATGGTGGCAACTCTCTGATCCCATCTATCTAAATATAATATATGTAGCACTTTAATGATGCCTTTACATCTATTTCTGGCTTAGCCTGATGGAAAAAGTTGTCCTGGTCCTCTTTATTTTCTATCTGAGATGCCAGAGGCTATGTGCCTTTCATTCATTTGCAAGATTTGAGGCCGAGTAACTTGATGTTATTAAAACAATGGTGTGTTATTTCTTTTAACTTGACATATTTCCAAATTAGTAATGGAAAATAGTACATTAATGGATTTTTCCATTCAAAAAGCTTCTGCTTGCACATTTGCTGTCTCTTTCCATTATACAATACTACGTAAAGAAGGATGAATTATTTGGATTAATTTAAAATCTTCCCATTATTTCCCATTATTAATAGAAATCAATTTACTTTTGAAACACAATCTTCAGCCTATCTTTCCATATTTTGAAGCTTCAGTGCAAATACCTATATATTTTTATTGCTTTATCTCAAGTGCAATTATTTAAAAAAACTTAATACTCTTTTGATATGAATCCCATTGTTTACATGTGTAATTGTAATGTATAGTTATTTGTAAATAAGTATTAAATTACACCCTTTCTATATTCTTTAATATAGTTATTCTTGAAGAGAAATTAAGAAAGTGCTATTTGAAATAAAATAATGAAGCTTTTCTCCTCTGAATTTCTTTTGCATCTTATTCCTTATATATATCTGTAGTCTCTTAGTATGTAATAAAGATATATATGATTAAATACTTTATAAATGAGGAATTAAGGCACAGAAATACTAAATCAGAAAAAAAAATCCATCATAAGTTGTTTAGCTGAATGATTGGAGTCCCCATATACCTGATTCTTATTATTAATAAGCAAAACTAGTTCACCTTTCTTTTTATCCTTTTTCTGAGATGTGAACTTCAGTTTTAGTTATAAGTTTCCACTTTGTCAAAATATTCTCAGAAATTCCAGGATTCAGGATCAACGTGGTTTTGGTATTATGCTACCTTATTTATTATCCATCCCATTCCAGTGGGAATATTTCACCAGGTTTAATTCCTTCAAGTTGTGATATACGATACAAAATGTTAGCCTTTACACTTTGGGGGGGGGTGTTTCCAAAAATTTATCAAAACAGATACAATAAAAATATGCTATCGTGTGTGTGTGTGCATGTGTGTATGTATGCATATTTTTCTATTTAGTTTTCAACATTATTGTTAGAAACCCAACCTCTTGGTAAACAATAACAGAATTATTTCTTAATTGCTTTGCACAGTGTAGGATTTTCTAAGTAATGAAAAGCACAATGAGGCTAGTAGTAAAAAAAAAATAGATGTGTCTTGGCTATTGTTAAGTAGCATTTGGTATGGCATTAAAATTTTCTGGCTGGGCAGCAAAAGTATTTAATTGGGAGCTAAGAACAGTGGCTGATATTTTATTTTAACATGGGGCAGCTGCACATTTTTCTGCCAATTGTCACTCATGATATTTAGCAGTGCTAAGTGCTCAATCTACAATAGCAGGTTTCTCGGGTCTGTGCTTAAATTATATAGCATATGGCACAATTTCGTACTTTTCAGCTATATTTCTGTCAATACTTCATGAATCAAATCCAGTCTCTTGCAGCATTCTCTGTGTTATTAAAACAATAATTAGTAAATACAGTGTGTCCAATTTCAGTACCTATATCATTACAAAAAAGAAAGAACTCAGCAAATGAGTCATAATGTGATCCAGAAATAAGAGTCTGTGTCCTTTTTCCCTAGAAGTTTGTCAGAAAGTCAAAGTAATGTCTTGCATGCACTGCTAACTGACTGTGTGGAAATTTTTTTAAGTTTACTTTTTCTTTATTCTTCTGTCTTTTTTATCCATCTTCCCTCATTGTAGCAAATTAGACGCCCGGATGAAAGCAAAGGAGTTGCTAGTAGAGTTGGATCCCTCAAAGTAAATATGTTTCTAAATTTTATTTTGCAAGTTTTCTTCTATAGCCTACACATTTTTTTTTACAGAGAGTGGGGAGGGAGGGCAGAGGGTGGAGCTTCGATATTTCTCACCATTCCACTTATTTTTATTTCACGTTTTTTTAATCACTGTGGGATCACTTTTTATTTGTTTCTGTGCTATACAAGAGCCATCATAACTCAGTCAGCGAAAGGAAAGTTGCCAAACTATTATTTCTGAATCATACTGTACCTCTGCAAAAGAAATTAGCTTCCTTAACCTGTCTTTGGAGTAGAATCATGAACACTTATTAAGAAGGCAAGGTAGCAAATTCTGTTCATTCTAGATAGAGAAGGATAGAGAAGGATTCTGAGGCACAATCTACCATTTTCTTAAACTTCCGTAATTGCAGTATAGGAGTTAGTCTTATTCCTTTTAAGTGGAAAAAGGTAGTTTGAATGGATGTATTTTCAATTGTATCTAAGTAGACACAACACTTTTTCCAGTTTGAAAGATAACTAAATTGTTGTTTTCTATTAATTCTCTTAGATTTTATTCTTTAAAAGTGCTGAGGTACAATAAATTAGATGAACTCGAACATGTGTTTGCACATTCATTTAAATGGAAAATAGAGATAGAGATTTTGTGAAATGTCTTTGAATATACTCCCTTTAAAATTAAATATTTGACATTAGTAAACTAATCTTCTTGTGTGGTATATCATATTAAGCTATGTTAATTTATATATTCTTATAGAGTTGGCTAACAAATCAATGAACGTAGTAGAAATATTTTTAATATCTTGGATTATAAAAATGCTGAAAGCTCACAGCATAGTTATCCTCAAAATATTCAGCAGTATAAATAGATAATTATTATTTATACATTTTGAAGCATTTCACTTTATTCAGTTATGTTTTGCACCACATGGAGCACAAAGTTCTTTCTGTCTTTTTTGCACTTTCTTGCCATCTCAGCTTTCTGTCTTGAAAATTATTTTCTTTTGTGTGTATGGTGTGTGTGTATCACCTTTATTCCAAGAAAAGCCATCTTACTATTTCTCTTAATACTTGCTCTCTGTAAAAGTGTCATTGCACTGAGCATATAAAGGAGGACAAAATTGTAATTATGCATATGTTTTCCATATTCAATTCCAAACAATGAATCTAATGAAAATGAAAATAAAAATGCTACTATACTTATAATAATGATAATATTACATTCCTCTGTCATTCTCTGTGGACTTTTTTTCAAAGAATTAATACTGTAATGCAGTTGAGGTATATGTTGTGTACATTAATTGACACTATATAAATAAATAAACATTGCCAAATAATGTATTTAATTGGTTAGCCATTATAAATAAATGCATATTAAACAATCAGTGAAAAATCCGTTTCCAAATTGTATTTTTAGAAATTTATACATTCTTGCTAAAATATGAATGCAGTATTTTAAAGTTTATATTTTTGGTTTTTGAATTCATTGGCACAGACCCAAAAATACAAGGATAAAATAAAGATACTCAGAAATCTTATTATTATGGGAAATAACACAGTGATCAGAATAAGAATATTTAGAAATTATATGAGGACTCTGTTTTAAAAATGTACTAAAAATGCTCTGAAAATGTTTAGTATGCTGATGGTTAGAAAGCAATATATGAACATTGAGAAGTGAACCAGTAGCTATAACTATATGTATTTTCTAATTAACATTTACACTTTAAAAAATAGTTGCTATTTTAACTAAATGATGTTTTTATCTTAACAAAAGGCTAATCTTTTTGTATTATGCTACATATATTACAACGGCTATGAGAAATGTGTTATACTGTATTTTCACTTTTTAAAAAAATGGAAAGAAGGAAAATGAAAAGACAACAGGTGGCTTTTTCAATTCATTTTCTGATGTTTACATATAGCTCCATCGAAAGCTGGAGGAGCTCAGAGATCATCTACATGGGAATGTCAAAGGATGCTCTCTCCGAGTAAATGTACGATTTCACTCGGTGAATTATTTTTAATAAACTTTTGCTGGCTGGTAATACCAAATGTGATTGGTTTGTTTTCTCATCCCATCATTCTTCCCTTTTTTCTTTCACCTCTTCTGTTTCCTTTTCTAATTTGGGTTTACACCATAAAATGATTTTTTTTTCTAAATGGTTGACCAACTATTAGTTACTTTCTGGACTTACTGCTATTTAAAAAAAATCACTTTTTGTCTCCAAATTCAAATGTGGTGTGAAATTGTTTCCTGATTCTAAAATAAATAAACTAGCCCAGATTTTTTGAAACTGGTTTCCTTCAGCTTTGTTGAATCAAAACCTATCTATAACCAGGAGTGGCAGTAGCCATGCCACCTGAAGATGGAAGTTATAAGACATCTGAAGAATAATAGATTGGGGTTAAGACAGAAAGTAGATTGTGTGAATATTAGACAACATTTAACATTTAACAACATTTAGACAAGTATACTCAAAAGTATACTTAAATCAAATTCTCTTTTGTGATATTTCATGTTTCACTTCTAGAGCTTTACAATTTAATAATAAGTGCATGTCATGCCTGATTACTACACATTATCTCTTACTGTATTATTTGATTTCTCTTTATTGCCCACCATTCTTTTTATAGGTTTTTCCTATTCAATGGGAAAGCAGTTTGAGTTTTATTATGTTTACCATTGGTCAATCAGTTGGAAAAATAACATTGGCTGGAGGAAGCACAGACAATATGTGCAATATTCATTGTGGCCCAAATCTTATAATTCGGAGATATTGACCTAATGTCCCTTCCACTGGCTCAGTGCATTTCTTAAAAATTAACTGCATAGATGAAATAAACTGGGACCGAACTAATCTAATCAGAACCGTATTTCCTCTAATTACATGCCTCCTATTTTACAAAAATGCCCATATGTCTTATTCATTCATTCAATTTATTGATTGTATATATATTGATCACAACATCACAGATTTGTGTCCAGAATAGCAACATAATTAAAATACGTGAGTCTTAGATAATTTTATTTGTTAATTTGTTAACATTGAACTAACGCTGTGTGATCATAAAAATCTCTGTCAAAAATTTCTTCTGTGAATATTTGTAATATTTAAAGTATTGATAAACATATGCAGAAAATTTTAGTACTGATCCTGAGTTTCAGCAAATGTTATTTTGATATTAGAACTTCTCCAAAGTCTTATGTCAGATAGGAGTATATACCTTGTTTCCCCGAAAATAAGATCTAACTGGAAATTAAGCCCTAGCATGATTTTTCAAGACGCTCGTAATATAAGCCCTGCCCCCAATATAAGCCCCAGTTAAGACCGTCAGCCAGACAGACGCATTTAGTATCATATTTCCCCCCAAAATAAGAACTAACTGGAAAATAAGCCCTAATGCGTCTTTTGGAACAAAAATTAATATAAGACCCAGTCTTATTTTTGGGAAAATATAGGTAACAACAATTATAAAAATAATGATATTAGGCTACTCCACATTTTGATCAGAGATTTGGGATTTAAAGTTATATTTAAATATTTTTGGAAAACATGGCAGCAAAACATCTTCCTACAATCTAGGTAATTTGGAAACAGAACTACAGATGTGACTAGTGGTCAGGGAAGCTATGAATTGTAGTTCAGCAATACGCTGGCCAGAATCCCTTGTTTGTGAAATGTATAGTCATATAAATTTGATGAATGAATAAATAAAATACTTATACATAAATCCTTCACAATTTCATATGATGCGTAGGCATTTAGATCCTGGAAAAAGATTATGTGATGGCCAAGAGTTAATACCAACTCAGAAGCACATCATCATCATCATCAGTCAGTAAGAGGTCTGCAAGTACTATGAATGAATTTGTGATGGAAGCCTATCTGTTTGGTTACATTTGGAGATTATTTCAGAAAAAAGTAATCAAAGAGAGCATCGCAATAGTCCTAGAGTGACAATCTGGATCCAGGACATATGCTGTATCTTTAATAGTGCCTGCAGCCCCACAAAATAAATAAAAACACTGGTAAAAAAATGGAATTCCTCATGATTGCAAAATTTTACTGTTTTAACTCTTGTGAATTGTCTATTGGATCTGAAAAGGTTCCTAACTTCTCCAGTAGTCTAAGACAGGGGTCCCCAACCCCCGGTCTGTGGACCCGTACCAAGTCACAGCATGCCAGCAAACAGTCCGCACAAATAAGTAAAGCCCCATCCATGGGATGCAGGCAGCCCACAAAACCACACCCCCTCCGGTCTATGGAAAAACCTCTCTCCACGTAACTGGTTCCTGGTGCCCAAAAGGTTGGAAACCTCTGGTCTAAGAGATGTGTAGCTAAGGCCTCCTTTCGCTGCCTAAGGCATAAAGCTAAGATAACTCCAGATTTCTATATGATTTGGCAGTTAGGTATCTTGGAATTGCATTCCTCAACTAGAAAGTTGCCTGCCAACAATTAAAAATACAGCTAATAATGCCCTTCTTGGAAAATGAGAGGAGACGAACTAGGAGGCACTACCTTAGGTTGGCATCACTTATCCATTGGAACAGTCCCACGGTGGAAATTAGATATGCTGATGATCTTTAGAGAGTAATTTAAATCCGAACCCTTCCAAGAGTACTTATAAATTGAGAAGGCATCATCTCAATTTACTATCTTGTTGACTGATTATAAATGATCATGGAAGTGAAATGTTTCTCATTTCACTGGATTTTTTTTTTTTTTTTAGTTTATCATGTATCCTTTCCTTTTTTTTTTTTAATCCTTACCCAGGATTTTTTTTTATTATGTTCGCTTCCAAGGTTCATAACATAACTATGGTGGAATATGAATGAATGAATGAATGAATGAATGAATGAATGAATGAATGCTTCTGCCTACTGATATAACTTTTATAAGCAGCACTGTATTCAGGAACCATATGAGCTGTATAGGAGCTATCCTCATCTCATTCAGGTTGTTATCCAGGTTGTTTGGCCTAATTCATTCCAAAATGTCTTCTTAGGTGTTATAAATTTACTTACTTTAATGGAATTAGAAGGTATCTTTTGTTTGCATGTAAGTAAGTCTCTACCCAGTTTTCAGAATGAACTCTCTCAGATATTCCATGTAGAGATTCACTGCAGCTTCATTCCTCACAGATAGAGGAGTGGGGGAATAATCATTTGAGGGGTTAAGCAAAATTCCCAGAAGTTTCAGTAAATTAATATTATCTTCCAATTTTCAGGATAACAATACTCTCAAAATAGCTAAAATTCATTGTAAAAATTATAGTAAATTTTATTTTTTAAAAAATTATAGAATCTTCCCATAAGGCAGGGGTCCCCAATCCCCAGTCCATGGACCAGAACTGGGCCGTGGCATGCCAGCAACTAGTCCACACAAACAAGCAAAGCCCTATCCATGGGATGCAGGCAGCACACAAAACCATGCACCCTCCAGTCTGTGGAGGGTGGACTGGTTTAGTGGAGAGAGGTTTAATCTCTCCACTAAACCAGTCCCTGGTGCCTAAAGGATTGGGGACCTCTGCCATAAAGGAACTCTTTATGTAGCCTTTGGAGTTGTGGGAAGAGTTTAGCTGAGCAGATACCTTGATCAGTGACATCTACCTTTTCCCTTCTGTCTTCAGGGATCCTTTGCTCAGGACTGTTGTTAGTAATGGTCTTGTGGAGTGGGGTGGACAGGAGAGGGATGAGTTCACCAGAATCATCTTTGAAGTTGGTTATCACTACATTTCTTCTTCTCTTTCATTATTTAATAATTTTCCTATAAATGTTTGGTCAGATTTATGAATAGACAAGTAGTCAGATTGCTAAGCACATCTACGCTGTCAGTTAGCTGCAGCTACTTAGCTTAAAAAAAGAAAACACTTTAATTCTTCTTATCAGAATGGAAGAACATCCCCCACACAACTTAAAGCCCTATGTTTCTCATCCCCCTGAGGATTCAAATAATCTTTACAGAAAGATTTTACAACCACTCCCCATCCCCCTCTCTACAGTGATCAAACATTGATCCATTGCTGGCTACATGGAGGTATTCAAAAGCATGAAAGATAGCCAATAATGCAGTAGTATCCCAGCACTATCTTATTAACACGTGCCTTCAGAATAGATTGACACTACTGTGACCACGTCTCCCTACTATTCTAGTAGTGAGTTTTACGTTTTGCCCTTATCTCTTCAAATGTTTCCTTTTCAATTCATGTCATCCCATATTAGTCCCCTAACATTTTATTGATCAGATAACAGATAACATATTACTTAAAATTTAATTAAAGATGCAGAAATTGGTGTGCAACTTTATATGTTACACCAATTGTGCAAACTTCACAAAGTCTGGCTTCAAACTTTGTGAGACTTCACAAATAATATTCCTATCTTGCCTAGTGAAATTATACACAGAACAATGTTTATAAGTTTCAGTCAGTATGATTTTTCCCCTTCTATATTTGGTAAATGTCACTGGAACAGCTTTTGGGTTTATGGGATTTGACAGCGTTCAATACAAGAAATCTCTTTGATGTTTTTAGCCTAAATACGTGGCAAGAAGTTTCATTTTCTTAGTCTCACTTGATAACAATCTAACAACACTGCATTCCATTGTGAATTCTTCCCTCTCATTTAAGCTTAGAAAAAATGAAACAACAAAGCCTTTTAAATTGAAAGGTTTTCTCTGTATTCAAGATTTGAGCCCAAAGTAACTCAACACAAACACACACATATTTGCCAGCTATAGTATCAGTTAAACATGGTAATGAGGATGAGATGGGAAACTTGACAAATAAATAAAATAAATAAATCCATCTGGCCTTATCTTCTTCCTAACTTTAAAAAGGAAGAGTTTCCACAAATTGGTGGACATTTTCTGTTTCTCAGTATGGTAGCTGGCTTTTCTCTGCCTAGTAAAACATTTGTGCTTCTTTTTGTTCATCATTTTTACCTCCATCAAGAGCTTCCTGCATTGGACGGACATGTCCTTATGAAGTTTTTCCCTTTCTGGTCTTCTGCATGAATCTCCACATAGTGCCCAGATCTCCTTTCAGCAGTTATTTCCAGAACTGCTTTCAAACAAGAACTCTCAGTAGTGCAAAATAATGTTGCTTATTGGGTTTTTTTTTTTACTAAAACCAATAACCCAACTTCAACAATTAGAGTTGTCTAATCCGATTTACTTGCTTGCTATTATCATCATTCCAATCTTCCTCCACCTTTCTTCTGCCCAGAATCCTTTCTGAGTCCTCCCTTCAAGATACCATTGATAAAGCCAGCCCCATCCTTTCTTTCTGTGAGAAACTTTCTTGTGATAACTAAATTATTTCTATCTTTATCAACAAAACTAGCACAAAGTACCAGAAAGCATTTGTTTGAATATGAGCGTGAAAGTATGAAAATGTGACCATGGCAATTCCAGGCTGTGATTATATATGAATTGAGTTTGTATGCACTGAAATATATTTGTTTAGCTCCACAAATAGATAGAAGAAAACATCAGCCAGTGATATAACCAAGTTGCTTGAATTATTGGAAAAAGCATTTTGGATTATGTGAACCTTGTCCTGAACTGAACATAAGAAGACATAAAATGCATTGGTTGATTCATAAAGAAGAGTTTATGGAGAAATTAGAACTGCTGTTCTATTTACCAAAAATGCTTTCTGTCAAATAAGTGGGATTTACTTTTGCAAAAATGAGATTCATGTATAGTTTTCTGATAGCTCACTTCTTAAAAAGTTCAGATTAATTTACACAACTTGTTTTAATAAAATTTAAGGTAAATTTTATGGAATTTAGCACACATTTTGAAAATCCATATTTGTTACAAATATGAATTAACAATTGAATTAATTATATATAATTACAGTCCTAAAATATTCATATTTAAATATTCTACTTTAAATGGCATTGTAGATGGAAAGCCATCTTAGTCTGTGATAAAAAAACACTCCAATTTAATTGCACCAATTAACCACTTTGTGTATTTGATGAAGTGAGCTGCAGCTCCTGAAAATCTATGCCTTTTAATACAATTGTTAGTCAGAAAAATTGCTAGCAGACTCCTGACTTTTCGCTATCTTAAATGGCTTAATCTATAAAATATTTTTATATCAGAAATCTAATTTGTAGAACACACAAAACCTCTGCTATGTCTCAGTGCTGGAACCACCTAAACAGAAAACATTTTAAGACCCTTATTATGTCATCACCTCTTTTTTAACAATGTTTTCTTTTCCCCACTGCATAACCAGGCTCGGCTCCCTTCGTGCTCATCCACCTATAGTGTTTCTGAGGTATATTTTGCACGTGTTCTTTCATAATACAGTTTCTTCATTCATCACCCTTTGATTTAAATCTATTTATTTCATTTGGTTTTCCCCATGCAGAAGTGAGAGAGAAAAAGATCACCTTGTGGGATTTATTATGCATGCTCACCTTGCAACCATGTCCAGCTTAGTTTAATACCAATCAACCACTGAACAATATTTAATTGCAGCATCTTTTTATAGTCTATAATAATATTGTATAATTGCAAAATTCTGTGCAGTTTTTTTAAAGAAAAGTTTTTTTGTGCAGAAAGTCAATACTATATAATTTTGTAATCCATCCACAGTCACTGCTTTGAGATGGGTGGCCATATAATTCATTGAAATTAATTAATTAAATGTTTGTTGGATTTTTTTTAATAGTCAGGTCTTTCAGAAATAGGTTATAGAATTCAGTAATTGTATTTTCATGTATGACTTTGAAGTTTTATCTGTTTCATAAATGAGATTGGAGGAAAAGTGAAAGAATTGTTCTTTCATTGACTTTTATTCAATGGAATAGAAAAATTGGAAGAAGCTTTTCAGCAACTGGAATTTTCTAGAAGCATCCACAAATCATGTTTCCCTGATAACTATTATTGGAATGAAAAGAATGGAAAAATATCTTGTATTTAATACTGTTCTGGAAGAGTTTTATACTAACAAATTTATCATGCATCCAACATAGTCACAAAATGATTACTATAAAAATAATGTCTAAGATCTTGCTACATTTTTTCTTTCGGGTATACAAATACTTTCTGCATGCACTTTTGCAAACACAGAGAACATTCCCATAGTTATTACTTTCACTCTTTTTTCCCATTCTAACAAAGCCTGCTGCTGTGCTCGACATCTTGCAAGATATTTAGCCATGTCACAATAAATTATCCATAAATCTACCCTGTGCTTAAATATCTGCTCACTTATTCATGTTCTTTATGGAGACAGAGAAGGTCAGGAGATGCACTGGGTAACTATGGATTGAAAATGTAGGGTTTTATATTATCAGGAAGGGCCATAGGATGAAGTACAGATACATTATAATATTTGAAATTCCAGTGGAATTAGAAAAGCTCTAGAAAGAGATGTCTGGATTGTCTAGCAGTGTGACTTAGTAATCCATAAGAGTAAATAGATGGTACTGTTTTGGGACCCCACTGAGGTGAGACTAAACCCATCTATCCAGAGTTTGTTAATTTTAGAATTGTAGATATAATGGCAATCTTTTGGTAAAGAGCATATTTGTTCTTATCATAAGAGAATATATTAAAACAGTTTTCAGCATCAGGCAATTTATGTTAGATCTTCATTTAACATCATATAGCACTATATATCTTGAGTGCTTTTGCTGCCAATTCCAATATATCAATTCATAATGCTCAGATAAGAGGAACAGTCATTACAATGCTTGAATTTTACTATTATATCTGGTGTATGCATAAGATTAGCAGTGACACTTGTTATAGCCAGTCACCCTCTCTCAGTCTAACTCATTTCACAGGTGGTTGTTCTGGGGAAAATAGGATGAAGGTGTGTTGGATATTTTGCTGCCTTGAATTATTTGTAAAAATAATAAAAGCAGATACAAATAAAATAAAAATAAATATAATGGATATTTAATACAACCACTATGAAAAAGTTTAATGGCATTATATAATAAATAGTTTTGGTGAGAATAATGCTCCTCCCCTTAGCTTTTTTGAATTTTAGTTCTATATTGTGGCACACTATTTTTTTACTTGAAGATATAGCAGATGTGCCAAATTGTAATACAAAAAGTCATTATACCATTCTTCTCAAAATATAGAATGGTGGCCCATAAAAAATGTGAAAGTATGTTTGAAAAATATTTTTGCCTCTATCCTCAATGTCCTACCCACACCCTTACCTCATTATACACACATGTATGTGGCTGGGAATGCACTGCTTAGTCATGCATCACGTGCATATTGTCCATTGCTTGCAGTGAACAATTAAAATTGAAATGATTCATTTTCTGTTGTAAGTTCTTCCTGAGATCAGAAGGTGGCCTAATTTCTATGAAAATTACTGGATAACTTAGGCATGTGTTTGGCTGTCTTAATAACTTTGATATTGTGTCTTATATTTTATTCTATACCTCTTTCTATAGTTTCTTTCCTGCCTTTGGTATGTTTCTTTAGTCTTTGACCGTAACATTAAATAAATAAAAATATCAATTATTGACATCCCAGGTAGTCAAGAGCAGAAGCTACATAATACACTTTATTTATTTTGATGGACAGTTATTGGTTCTAATGAAGCTATCATTGGACAGTTATATACAGTAGTATACCATGCAGCTTTTATTCATAAAGATTCATTGAATCTTGTCACCCTGAAACTTTATTTTTCTACTTAGATATCTCCTAAAAATCTCCTAATAGCCTTAACAATAAGTTGTCTAATATATGAGGAGATTAAAGGAAATTTAGTATTAATTTAGCTAGGGTCATTATGTTGTATTTCATTACTGCTGTAGTGGATTTACAATTGTGATTGCCCATATATGTCTAAATAATAGAAGCCAAAGACAAACACTGACAAACCACAAATTTCACACACTGTTTGAGTGAGGTTAATGGTATATGACAGGTCAGTATTTTAAATAGGACACAAGAGTCAGTGACAGACCAGCTGGTATCAATAAACAAAATTACATATTCATCTTGCTTTTCCTCAAGGTCCTCAAGATGGCATACATAGTATCTCCTCTCATTTTGTGCCCAGAGCAGCAGCCCACCTAATTAATTAGGCATTGAGAAACAGTACTAACCAAAAATCACCAGAGCTCCACGCTGAATGAATATTTGAATCTAGGTCTCTCTCTCTCTCTCTCCCCAATTCCACTCGAACACCTAACTACTGTATTTTATGTATAGTTTAATGTTTAGGAGTTCTAACATTTATCAATAGGGAACATTTCCTGCTTCAATACTGGTGATTTGAGAAATCAAAATATATTCATCTTGTTTTTTTCAAATCTCAGTTTCATTGATTTTGTGTTTTGAAAATTTGGCACCTCTCTCAAAATCAGGGTTGGTGAAGCTAATTTTATGACATTTGGAATATAAATCATTTAATATGATTTTCCTGAAAACTGAAGCTCTGGGAAGAAAAGAAGCATTTCAAATGAGTTTAATACTTTGTTTGAACTAGAACAGAAAAAGAATAATTTTTAATATTTTTTTAAATATAAATGTATCATTCTGTAAGAGTCTTGTATCTAAAATATACCCATTCTCTAAAGACATATGGTGATGCATATAGTCTTTTTTTGGTCTGTCTAATGAACACTATTTGAGGAAATCTTGCATTATTAGATACATACCTTTTGCATCTAGTTTTTCTTATATTTTAATATACTTCTCTTTATTCTTATTTTTTATATATTTCTTATATCTTTTTCCTCATTAGTTCTTTCAGATCCTTAGAAGTGTAATTTCATGCAAATGCATAACAAGCAGTATTATTAAACATTCTTGGTTGCTTATTTAATCTACATAATTAAACCTTTTATAGTTTTAGATTGTAGGAGACTACAATGAATTATATAAAAACAGTTGGACTTAAGGGTATGAATGTCATGTAGCTATTAGAAAATTTTTTACAGATAACTATCAATGCTTGAATAATTTAGTAGTTCCCTAAATGTATGGAAAAAGGGGGCTTCTGTCAAAATTATAAATGTTTCTTTCAAAATCATATTAAAGAGGCAACTCAAAAGGAATGGTAGGCACTAGTACATCCATTTCTAACTGCGGCATTTATAAAGAATGTTAATTACAGTACATTATAAAAAGCATGCAACCGTTTTTTTAAAAAAAATATTAATACCTCTAATTCAGACAGCCTTTAAAATTTGGAATTTGCCAAATACCAAGATCTATATTTCTAAATCTTTCACAGAAAAGGTAATACATATTTTTCAAATATTGTTAAGTATACACATTATAAAGAAGGCCTTGTGAAACAATAAGCAAAATCCAAAAATGAAGAGCCTTAAAGCAAATCCTTATAATCAGTGTTTTGTTTTGTTCTTACATTGCAAAGCAATTGTATTTATCTAAAACTAATATTTAGATTTTGCAACATCATCTTAATAATGTGATTTTTTTTTTCTGAAGAATACTTCCATGAATGTAATGAAATTTTAAAATTATAACTGCAATCAATAACTTGGTTCTGTTTTAATTGAAGGGGATGAGTAAGATTTCTCTTTTAGGAAAATACATTATTCTTTTGTACACATTTTTTATTTGATAATTAATCAGTGAGGGAACAAAAACATCTAATATACTGATTAGTTTTACTTACCTTGTGGCACTTCTTCCTTGGGCAACCCATCCTTGTGTCATGTAAAATGCTTTTGAACATCCCCCAGTTTCAGAGGAATATGTTTTGTTTTATGAGATCATAAAGGTGGAACATTGCTTTGTGGTATTAACCAAAATTAACTATCTTGGACCAATGGAACTATTGTACAGTTCTTTGAACTTGGCCAATATTTTTTCAATGAGGAACAAGGAATTGTAGTGAGATTTTGTGAGAAAGAACAGCTATATAAATATGTTTTCACTAAATATACTATAAAAGCAATTTAAAATATTCTGGATAGGACTGCTGGATTAAAGGAGGGGTCAAAGAGCCATCTACATTAAGATAAACAGACCTCTCTCAATTAGAGGGGGAGGGATATGACACCACCTATCTCCTGTTTACAACACTGTCCTTTTAACAGTTCCAAGAAGGTTCCACATCCATTTGCACTATTTAGGTGACCCTGAGGACACAGATAAACCTCCAAGTGGCCTCAACGATTCCCAGAAAGTTTGCTAATGACCAGATGATTGCAAGGAATATAAATCCTTCCATTCTCCACCATTCAGTCAGAATTAAAGAAGCGAAATATCTTCAAGGAAAAACAAAGAAAGTCCACTTGCCTTTTGAAAAAGTACTTTTGGGAC